ACTATTAATTTGGAAGTGACTACATTTCTTTCCCACTCTGTAAGGGTTTGACAATGGCTAGGCAGCCTTTGAGTTTATGTGCTTTTTTCTTCAGGTCACAGGAAGTGAATGACATGGGAAAAAATGCAAGTTCTGAAGGCTACTTTATTCTACTGGGTTTTTCTAAATGGCCTCATCTGGAAGTGGTTCTCTTTGTCGTTATCTTGATATTCTACTTGATGACACTGATTGGCAACCTGTTTATCATGATGCTGTCATACTTGGACTCCCATCTCCATACTCCCATGTACTTCTTCCTCTCAAACCTCTCTTTTCTGGATCTATGCTATACCACTAGTTCCATCCCTCAGTTACTAGTCAACCTTTGGGGTCCTGAGAAGACCATCTCTTATGTTGGGTGCATGATTCAACTCTACTTGGTCCTTGCCCTGGGAACCACAGAGTGTGTCCTACTGGTGGTGATGTCCTATGACCGTTATGTAGCTGTGTGTAAACCCTTGCATTACAGTGTCCTCATGCATCCTCGTTTTTGCCACCTTTTGGCCATGGCTTCTTGGATAAGTGGCTTCACTGCCTCAGCACTTCATTCCTCCTTTACCTTATGGGTACCCTTGTGTGGACATCGCCAAGTGGATCACTTTTTCTGTGAAGTTCCAGCACTGCTGAGATTGTCATGTGTTGACATTTGGGCTAATGAACTGACCCTTATGGTCATGAGCTCCATTTTTGTAATAATACCACTTATTCTCATTCTCAGCTCCTATGGTGCCATTTTCCGTGCTGTGCTGAGAATGCAGTCAACAACTGGATTTCAGAAAGTCTTTGGGACATGTGGAGCCCATCTTATGGTTGTGTCCCTCTTCTTTATTCCAGTTATGTGCATATATCTCCAGCCACCCTCTGGGAAATCTCAAGATCAAGGCAAGTTCATTGCCCTCTTTTATACTGTTGTCACACCTAGCCTTAACCCTCTAATCTATACCCTCAGGAACAAAGATGTAAGAGGGGCAGTAAAGAGACTAATGGGGTCAGGGTTAGATATGTGACAGAGGAATAAGATGTTTTACAATTTTTCTTCAGAGAGTCTTGTCCATTTACAGGGTATTCCCTATGATATTTATTTATAATGTTCAACACACCAAGCATTTAGAACAATAATTCAGCTCCAAATTTGTTATTATTTTATTGGTTAATTTTGAAATATTATTTATACACAGACTTTAGATTAATACCACTTTAACCAAAAACCAAACTCACTGCTGTAGAGTCAGATCCAACTCCTAGCAACCCCTCCTTGGGTTTCTGAGGTGATATCACTACTCAAGTAGATTGCCCAACCATCCTTCCAAGAAGTAGCTGGTGGGTTTGAATCACCAGCCTTCTGGTTAGCAGTCAAATGCCTTAGGGACTATGCTACAAGAGCTCCTAATGCCACTTTAGTCTTTATAAAATTCCTTATTAATTTCTATAGCAATTAACCAAACCAAACCAAACTCACTACCACTGAATTGGTTCCAACTCATAGTGACCCCTCCTTGGGTTTCTGAGGCAGCATCTCTATGGAAGTAGATTGCCTAGTCTTTCTTTTGAGGAGTTGCTAGCTAGTGGGTTTGAATAGTCACCTTTCTGGTTAGCAGTCAAATTCATTAGACACTATGCCACCAGAGCTCCCTCCATAGCAATTAGGGACTGTTATTATTATTATTATTTTTAACATAAATAAGTGTAAGTTGTTTGTAATTATGAAGAGATAATTTAAAAATTTCCAATACTTGAAATATTTTAAAATAACATTAATAACATACACTAATCATTAATACCTACAGAAAGGGAAGGAGCAATATAATTTAGACTAATGGAGTTTTTGGACATTGAATAGGTACTACATTTGTCAAAAAACTGTATTATACCAAACATTAAATGCTAAACATGTGAATAGCATCATTTCTTCAATGATGAATGGATATATAACAATTCTTTGGTTGAAGAAACCTTTTTTTATGATTCTAAATTATGTAAGTAATTTATTTAGAACTGTAAAGAAAAATACATTTAAAATGGTTCATTTATCCATTTAATCTATTTATTCACTCTATTAGCTAAATTTTATCGAGCATCTCTGATCTCCCACATTATGGGGTTTTTGGTAATATAGATAAATATAGCACACTCTATTCAATAGAACTAACTGTTGAGGGGAGGAAATGGGAATTTTAGATAAAACAAAAATGTATCTTAACATGATTCAATGTGTTATTAGGCAGAAAGCCAATGAATCGAGGTAGTTTTTAAGCCTTAAAGTATGAAATTTGTTCATAAATCTTGAAAAATAGAAACCATTGCTAATTTCTGTAAGAAGATGTTGCTAATGACTGAAACCAAGCAAAACTAAATAGAATATGCTTTCATAGGTTTTAAAAAAACTCGCTGCCATTGAGTCTGTTTGACTCATAGCAACCTCTCCTTGAGTTTCCCAGGTGGTATCACTACAGAAGTAGATTGCCCAACCTTCCTTCTGAGGAGTGGCTGGTGGGTTTGAACCACTAATCTTCTGGTTACCAGT